TGAAAAATAAAACAGAACTCATCTTGCACACCTGATGTAAAGTTTGCTGCTCTTCCATTGTTATCCATTTGTTTTTGTAGCTGGTTTGAAATTGAAATTGGTTTGAAAAAGTTTAAATTAAATGGTTTTTTCCAAAGCTTTCCAACTGCAACAACTTAATTAGAAAGTTAATACTAATCATATTCCATTATCAACCAAACACATAATACTTTTCTTGTTTTTGAAGTCCTGAGGCTAACTTTTGCCAAAATACTCTAGCAAGAATGATACAATTATTCAACCTCTTTGAGGTATACTTATTAACTGCTTCTAGAATTTTTTTTAACTAGCTATTCACTGCGTTTTAGAGTAAAGCAGAAAATTTCAAAATTTGATCACCCAGTTTGTTTTTTATAAAGCCTTTTAGGTAGCGGTGTTCCTTTAGCCTGTTTATCTTTAGAATTGTTAAAACTTTAGAATTTAACTGAACTTCTACTGACTGGCACTTTAAAAGAAGATTTATTCTTGACTTCATTAAAGAAAAGTGAAATAAAAAATGAAATCTTGAATAGCCTTCTTGATAGCTTGAATAACGATTAAGAAATAAATAAAAAAAAGGAAACAAAGATATTTTGAAGCAATCTGTCTTTTTGATTACTTAAAACGTTTTGTTTAGAAAGAGACTTCAGATAAAACTTTTTTTTTGAAGCAATCTGTCGTTTTTTGCTGCAGAGAACATAATATCTGTCAGGGCAAAAGAAATAAAAGAATCCATAAAAAATAATGAATTAACAAAGGGAAAGCAATTTAAAAAAGATAGAATTGCAGTTTTGGTAAGGATTGATGCGAAAACAGAACTACTTGGCATTCTTCCAATAGATTCTAGTTCAGGGGTTAATCAAAAGCAAGCTATTGTAGAATTGATGAAATTTTTTCGATTAAAAGATAATGTTAAATGTCTCTGTTTTGACACAACTTCAGCAAATGCAGAAAAATGGCAAGGTACTTGCTTGAGAATAATTTAACAAGTTCAACGTCCCTTGTTGTTGATTGTATGTAGACATCATGTACTTGAGCGACACATAGCCCATTTCTGGAAGATTTACCTAAGCAGCGAAACTTCTGGTCCAGAAACTATTCGAAGTTCTAAAATAAAACTGGAAAAAGTTGAAAGATGCTGGAAGATGCTGAAACTAAGGAACTGAAAAAAATAATCATACCACCTGGAACATGGATATATAATCCAAAACTAGCTGCTTTTCAGTTTTGCCTTAATGTGATCAGTTTAAAGACCTTCAAAAAGGTAATATTTTTATATTTATTCATTTTCTGTTAAATCTTATTTTTAAAAAGAAACATTTATTACAAATTTATAATATATCCAAAACCTTTTAGGACAGAAATATAAGAAAAGAATACCATGCTAGCTGAACTTACTTTAATGGTTCTATCATCAAATAGGTTTAAATTTCATTTACCAAACCCAACTCATTATTCAAGATTTATGGGAAAAGTTTATACTACTTAAAATTGTATCTTTTAATGAATGAAATTCAAAACCTGACTGACAAACATAAAGAAGAAATAACTGGTATGGCTTTATTCATTTGTCTTTTCTATACAGAGTAGTTTCTAAAAGCAAAGTAAAGTTCTTTGGCACCAACACAGGTATCAGTCTTTTAGTATTTTTTTATAAATTAGAAAGCTCATTATTGATTGAAGTAATTCAAAATGTTAATGGATATTATTTATTAGGATATGAAAGCTTACTGGCAAATGAAAAGGTTTGAGGAATGGAACCTACTTGGTTCTCAAGCTGTTGCAAGCTCTATTCTCAGACATACTTGGTATCTAGATGTAATTTTTGCCCAACAGATAAAGAATGTAGAGAACGTGATGATATGGCCAAAAAACTGTATAGTTTATCCTCAGGCATGGAAAGACAGAAACTCTATAAATGAAGACTCCACCAGAATTTTGGAAATTCAAAGATTTTTATCTAGAATTTAGAGCAACAGTTAAGGAACTTGATGTTGTTAACGGCTACTCTGAGAGGGAAGTCAAGTTTGTTCAAGACCTAATAAATAGAGCATATTCAGAAGAAAAAAGGCAGGACACCTTTCTCTTTACAAATAGTTACAGGAAAAACAGAAACGGGAAGAATAAAATAGATTACGAAAAAGCCGCTAGTACAAACATAAATAAAGTCTAGTTTTTATGTACATTTTTTTGTTAATATCACTTCTTTAAGAAAGAATAAAAAAATTAAAAAATTTAGTGGATTTGCTGTATTTTAATTTGAATTAAACTTTACTATTGAATTGAAACTTTTTATAACTTAAATAATTTTTTTTTTTAGTATCTTATTTCCGTGTCCAGGCTCTCCTTTTTATATATTTTCCAGAATAGTTCCTGAAGCTGATTATAAGTGAGAAATCAATATTGTTCTGTATCAAAAATAAATAAAAAAAATAATGTACTTTTATAAGCTTCAAGAAAATTTCAAGAATATTTTGTATTTTTATGAGCTTTGCTAAATATTTATGGATTTTAGGGTTTCTTGAAACAATTTTTTTTTTTTTTTTTTTGAGAGTAGAGCCCATTTTATTTAGATTAAATAAATTTTAACAAGCATAAATATAAAAAAAAGCGAAAAATTTTAATGTCAGGACTTCCTTCAAACAGTTTTAAGAAATGTGCAAAACACCCTAAAAATTGCCCCTTTTACCCCCTGAAGGAACCCTTAGAATTTTCAAAAAAAAAAAATAAAAAATATTTAGTACCAAATCATGGTTATATATATATATATATATATATATATATATATATATATATATATATATATATATATATATATATATATATATATATATATATATATATATATATATATATATATATATATATATACAACTACAACTTTTATCCATAATTAAAATAATTACCAGATGAAAGCGTCATAGCTGCATTTATTGATCGCTGTTGTGTTAACACGTCAATATCTTTGCACTTCCTGTTTACCTTAACAACAAGCACATGTTTTTTTTTGATAAATTAATATAAAACATTGGAAAGTTGTTTATCATATTTTAAGCATAGGAAACAAGACAGTAGAGGTAAGTGGTGTGCCTTTATTGTGATAATAATATCATCATTATCAATTGGTAAAAAATATATATTTATATTATTACCAATTACATATTGAGTCAGTATATACCATTTAAGGTCATCTAAAGCCCAATATGGTTGATGAGAACCAGCAGTCAAGGGTAACTATTGAGTTTTAAGGTATTCTCCACCAAATTTTTTTACTTTAGCCAATTTTTTGTGTTTTATTAGCATCTGCTTCAATTTTGACAGCCTCACTATCAGTATTAATATTATTTTGTCTGTTTTAGTTTAATTTAATGATCTAATATCAGTATTATTTCTTGTAGAAAAAATGGTAAAATATCGTCGCTTGTCCCAGGAAGTGCGCCTCCGTGCTGTTTTTATGGCAGAAAATGATGAAAATTATAGTAAAATTGCAACAATTCTTGGTTCTACTACAAGCGCAACAGGAAAATTGATAACAAATATCAGAACTTAGGTTCTACAGCAGACAAGGCATGTTCCGGAAGACCAAAGAAGACGACGGCTCATACCAATCTGGTGCTGGTCCGCATGTCACTTCAGGATCGTCGCCTGACTGTACCACAATTAAGCCGGAGACTGCCGGAGGAACATGTTTTTAATTTGGCCTCCAGAACTGTGCGAAAGAGACTACAAAAAGCCGGATTAAGAGGGTGTGTGGCAGCAAAGAAACCTTTGTTCTCTGCCGCCAATGTCCAGCGACGGTTGGTCTTTGCCAGGGAGCACAAAAACTGGACTGTCAAGGACTAGAAAAACAATATTTTTTCCGATGAAAGTTTATTTCAACTATTCTGTGGGGCAAAGAGACTAATTGTTAGAAGAAGAGTTAGTGAAAATTTTAAAAAAGACTGTATTGCACCACTTGTGAAGCATGGCGGTGTTAGTGTTATGATTTGGGGGTGCATGTCTAGACACGGGGTAGGGCAGTTGTATCAGTGCATTGGGTCCATAAACCAAGGTCAATACATTAGGGTGCTTCAGGACTCAATGCTACCATCTGCTGATACTGTGTTTGGACAAGGAAATTGGTTTATCTTGCAGCATGACAACGCGCCATGTCATAAAGCAAAGAAGGTAACCAATTTCATTCGTCAAAATGGAGTGGACGTGTATATATATATATATATATATATATATATATATATATATATATATATATATATATATATATATATATATATATATATATATATATATATATATATATATATATGTATATATATATATATATATATATATATATATATATATATATATATATATATATATATATATATATATATATATATATATATATATATATATATATATATATATATATATATATATATAGATGACGGTTGTAAGATATATATAAGATGACGGTTGTAAGATATATATAAGATGACAGTTGTAAGACATATAAAATGACGATTTTAAGATATATATAAAATGACGATTGTAAAACTATTTAAGAATTGCTTTACTCTATTAGCATTAACTCATTAGAGACCTCAGGATTTTTATTGAATACATTATTGATATAATATTCAATCAAAAAAACTACTATCATAGATTTTAAGACTTAGACTTATTTTCAAGCTATATAGTTTAAGGATAAATTCCTTATACATAGAAACATGTTTCAACGACAAGTTCTTTATACATAGCAACATGCTTCAACGACAAGTGTCCTTGTACATAAAAGGCATTCAGCAAATGTCTTAGTATTCTAGCGATCAATTAAAAAATAGCAATTTGTATTGATCTTTTAAACTTTGGAATATGTAACAGCAACTAGCTGTTTAAAAATTACCAATAAGAAAACTTCTTGCGCTACCATCTTGTGAATTTTAGCACGATTTAATAAAAACGGTGCAGAAAATTTCATGCAGAAGAGATTTTCGGAATTTGAACTCAGCAAACGAACTTCAATATTATGCACAAAAGAAACAAAAATTAGTCGAAACTTTAATAAAGTGTTTATAATTTTAACTTAAAATTATAAATGAATAACTCATTAGAGATAGTAATAATGCTGATTTTTTACTGACATGCCGGAGATTATCAACCTTTTTATAATATAACATTATTTGATTTGTAAATTCAAAATTGTTACTTTGATAACAGAATAACGATGGTGGTTTTTAAGATTTCTCAGAAAACGAAATATAGTTTGAGTGTAACATGGATTGGTTTAGCTACATTAACTACATTTTGCTTGGGAGTTTACAATCCAAACAAGAAGCCGCCGCATCCACATATTATAGTCGTCACTCTAAGAGATATGGTATTTTGCTTACTTTTATTGCCAAAATATAAATACAATATTCAAATTCAATTTTAATATATCATAAAAATAAAAAAATGAAGATCTTTATTTTTTATTTTATTATATATATATATATATTTTTTAATTAAAATAACAAACTAATTTTCTTGGCTTTTTGGTACCGTTTTTTTTTACCAATGTCTTTTTTAAAACTGGTTTGCTTTGATTTTAAGATTTTTTCTGAAAATATTTCACTTAATTTGCAATCGAAGGGGAATACTTAATTTACAATAAAAGGGGAAAAATCAATCTCTATTTCTTTTTATAATCAATATTTATTTTTAATCACTAAAATATTTCAATTTTCTTTTGCATTCAAAGTTCATTGATTTGTATCTTCTTAGGTAATAATGATATTTTTAATTATTAGGAAACTATTTAAAAATTCGTTTAACTTGTTTTTGTTGATATTTTATTGAGAATAATCTGTACATAAGTAGTTACAGCTGAACAAAGGACTGTAGTTCAATACTACTACAGGCATAGCAAAAACCAACAAGAAACCAAAACAAGATATTTTATAATGAAATGTTGCAAATGCATGAAAAACATTTTAACAATAAAACATAACATATGCGTTAGTGCTATATAATTAAATATAAATAGATTGCAATTAATGGCTAAAAAGGCTTCGCAAGATCGCATTTGGAAAAGAGCAGGGCAAGCAACATTATGTGGTCTGGCATGCACAAGAACCGAACGCATAAATAAATTGCGCACGCTGTTTTTATGCTTGATTAATCATTAACCAAAACCCAACATTTCATTGAACGAAACATTTAAAATTTTAAAAACAGTAATAATTAAGATATACAAAAATAATAATTTGTAATTTTTTATAAAAGTTTATAATCATTCACTCATTTACATAATCATTCAGAAATAATTTAATAACTTGAGATGTAAACATATTTGGTTTATGTCACGCAGTGACCCGCGCAGCAGGTAATTATTCTGTTTTTAATGATACTAATTTTATAATGCATGGCGTATAAATAGGCGTATTAAGGCGAAGGAATATATGTACATAGGATTATACAAAAAAAATTAAACACAAAATATGATCAAAATATTTTGTGTTTAATTGTTTTGAGTTATTCAAATATTTTTTAAAATAAAATTCACACATTGTTTGTGTTAAGGGATGGGATGATGTCAGTTTCCATGGAAATCCAGAAATTCCGACTCCTAACATCGACAGAATCGCCAATCACGGTGTTATTTTACAACAATATTACACGACGCCTAATTGCGAAGATTCGGTTTCGTCTTATCGCACAGGAAAGCATCCAATACACTATAGTAAGTTACTTTTAGTAAGTAAGTGACTTTTATATAATGTTACATAATATGTTATTAGTGTAGTCACAAGTAAATTTATTAAGAAACGGAGTTTAAAAACTAAAAGACTCACTACTTAAACAAAAAATGTACAGATTTAAAAAAAACTGGATTAGACCACAACACACTTAAAATTATATTATACAATAATAAACCTATCATATTTAATATAGAAAAATCTATGGAGAGTGGAGAAAACGCTCGCGTAACATACGATATATGGAACTATCTTGATATTCAAAGTTATGTTATTAGAGAAGTAGGACTAGTAAGTTTTTTGTTTTTCATTTATAAAATATGACTAATAATCCCCATAATGTGTTGTTGTTCAATCGACACAATATGTCATTTGAATAAACAAACTTATGCTATTATTTATTCATTACTTTTATGATTATTCTCTAGATTGACTGCAAAGATACCGATATACCTTTTTATCCATGGGATGTTATACAAAAAGCTGAAAATGTTTTAAAGCAACAGGATCAAATATACTCTTTATTTTTGCAAGTTAATTTTCCGCAGTTACATGCAGACTACCCTGAGCAAATACCAGATGAATATTTGACCCGAGCTAAAAATATTCCATTTGAAGCAAGAAAAATATACGCAGGTAATCAGTAACAGTTTTCAATTTTCAATCAGAAAAATACGTTTTGAAATTTATATTAGTTATAAATACGGTCTCAAAATGATAAACAAAAATCTAGTACATAGCAACAAGTAATAAAATATGTTTTAGGAAAAAATTTTCTCATAATCCATTTAGAGCATTTAAATAGTTTGAAATCCTCCTCGGGCTTAGGTGAGTCTAGGCACTAACTTCGATCTGTGCTTAGATCATACATATCTTCTTTGTTGTTTATATTCTTTTTGATATTGTTTATTCTAATACAAAGAATTCAACCACATCTTAAGAAGTTTTATAGTAAACGAATTAATAAAGTAAACAACAGCTTTTTTGAGAGTCAGGAATTTCAGAAAACGACGCAACGTTTCAGCGATAAAGAACGTCTACTATCGCTAAACGTTAGTTCAAGAATATATAGGTACCTGAGTTAGCGTTTTCAAATTTAGTGTAAGCATTTGTAGTCTTTTGCAGTTTGCAAAACAAAAAATTTTAAAACAGCTTAACTTGTAAATTAAAAAAAGTCATTAAAATTTTATCAATTCACAAGCTAAATTGTTTTAGGGTCATTCATCTATGGAAAACTTAAGCTTTGATCTGTGATGACAGCAGGCGTTTCTGTTGTTTCATTAAATGCCTACACTGGAATGACAATTTCTGTAACATTGACATTATCTTAATCAATATTCTTTATATCTTTAGCATTTTTTCCTCAAACAATAACCTTCATGAGGTCCTCTTTGGCTTATACCAGTTACTCTTATTGGTACAACGCGTCTTGAGTTATCTTAAGAACATTATGCCCTATATATCAAGATATGTCCCTATATCAAGAGTTTTGTGGTGTAAATAATTTGGCCCAAAATATTTTTTCAACTTGAAAAGCAAAACAGAGATAACAAATTTTGCATATTCAATTAACCTGATGCACGGATGGACAAAAGAAATCATAAGGACAAACTTGAAAACTTCTTGTGGATCTTGACATCTTGACAGTTTCATCTAGTTTAATTCTTTGTGAAACAATAATATAAAAAAGATTCTTTCTTCCTTCTTTCCTTCCTACCTATTCCTTCTTTAGTTTAAGACTTGTTTAAATGATTGGAACTGAAGAAAACAAAAATCGTGAAAAAAACATTGAATTAAACATTGAATAGCATTGAATTACGAGATTTTTGGTTTAAAAGAAGCATTTTACAACTTGATAGAAGTATATTTGAGTGAATTATCATTTTTTCTGCATCTAATTTAAATTTCTCTGGATCACATATTTTGCAACTATCAGAAACAATTACGTGTTATCAGATTTCATCAAATGTTTCTTAAGTATACCTGAAAATTTTTTTCTCTAATTTATCATTTAGTGTTCTTCTCGGCGAATTAAGAAATCGTAAATTTCATTGTGACGTAACATTTTTCTAACCTCCCATTCCCTTTGTCACACATTGTCACAATTTCTCAACCTTTTTCTCTCTCTGTAAGTGTGACGTTCTTTATGAGTGACCCTCTATCGTTATAAATATTAATGGTCCCTAATTCTGGCTTTTGTAATGGACTAGTCAATTGATTGATCAATTAATTGTTTCATCTATAGATATACTACTTTTTTAGTTAGTGTAAAGTAAAATTTTTCAAGCAAACAAATAAAATATCAAAATAGATATATTTATTTTGTTACATTTATATACATATAAATGTAAATAATATGCAATTTATATTATTGTGCAATATATTTTGTGTTGTACTTGATTGTTTTTTAGCGATTTCAATAATAAAAATTTTATACGATTTTTATACGACTCAATAAAAAATTATTATTATTATAAAAGTATTGTAAAAAATTACAATATATATGAAAATATTAAAGAAGATTGTAAAAACATAAAGTCTGTTTAAAACCTATATAAACCTGTTTTTTATTCTATTTTAGGCATGATAATGCAACTTGACAGAGCTGTTGGTCATTTAGTAAGAATATTATATGACACTGGCATTCTCCACGATGCTATACTTATTTTTACCACATTAACTGGGGGGACAAAGGGAAATAACTTTTATACTTGGCCATCAACATATCCATTTAGAGGTGGAAATGGTACTCTTTGGGAAGGTGGCTCCAGAGCTTTAGGATTTGTTTACAGTAATCGAATAGCTAGAAGAGGTAATAAATTATGTTAACATTTTGTAATTATGTTAACATATTATAATTATGTTAACATATTATATTCTCTAATTTTAGGTTTTAAAATATCAAAAAAGTGCAATATATTGTAACACGCACTTTTTTTCTTCAGTTGGCGCACATCTTTAGATTTAGTATGCAAATAAATGTTTTTTATTTTAGAATTTCAAAGGTTAAGGTAAATACTTTATGCTGGTTTAATTACCAATATGTTTTTTTTTAATTATAATTGTAGGTGTAGTAGACATAGTGTGAAACCTCCCTAAAATCCATTATACATATAAAGTGATAAAGTGTGAAAAAAATGTTAAATTGTATCAAGTGATTTTTATTAATTCCTATGTACCATTCTGTTTAGCGTTGTTTTGTAAAAAAAGATATAAAAAGGTGGTAGAATGGTTAATATTTATTAAATAGTTTTAGGAGTATTGCATACAATGACTTCAAACTGTGTTCAAGCTGTTTATTGTCTATCTGTTGTCTAAGTTTTGAAAGCAAGTATCATATCAACTAAACTGAGACCATTAAAAGGTTGATTTTAATGGTTTCAGTTTAAATCAAAATACTTGCCACTGGTATCTAAGTCACGGAAAAAGTTCACGGCTCAGTTCACTTTTAATTACAAAAATGTTTTCACTTTTAATTACTAAAATTTTGGCAAAGTAGATGATTGTATCATCTGCATACACGATGTTTTGAGATTTTCTCAACTGTTCATTTTTTGTAACGAAACATCTATTGCTGCGGGTAATGCTGAAGACAAAATATTGCTTAAATTTAGACGTTTTGTCCAATAAGACTATAACCACTAGATCAAATATTTTTATTACTGTTAATTCGCTTTAATGGAATAAACAGTAATAAAAATATTTGTTAATGAATTATATTTTTTTGCCTAAACAATAATACAGTATCGTTAGTAACTATTAATAAAAATTAACAAAGTAGAGATTTAATACTCAGAACTATTTTATCCTAAAAAGTTTACGGGTGTTTTTCTTTTAGAATTTTTTACATTTTGCATTTTTTTACATATGTAACTGGTTATTTAGGTCGAGTTTCTTATGGTCTTGTACATATAAATGACTGGTTGCCAACAATATTTCGTCTAGCTGGAGGTAACCCTGATCATGTTGTTGAAAGTGATGGTATGGATGTTTGGGATTCAATAAACAACGATGACTATTCCCCAAGGTATTTTCAAACCTAAGACAAAATAATAAAATTAAAAATAGAATAAATAAATTAAATGTTAATATTATTTATTATAAAATTTATAATTTAAAATTTATAAATTAGTATATTTAATGCATTGCAAACCTTGCATTTAGAATGGAAATACTATACGGCATCAACGGAAACAAAGCTGCAGTACGTGTAGGAGATTTTAAGCTTATAACTGGAGAAAGTTATGTTCCACTCTCTCCCAGACCTTTAGCAAAAGGAGAACTAGACAATTTAATTAAACCAATTACAGTTTGGGATAGTGAGTTAGAATGTGCCGACTATCCCGACGCAATTGGATGTTGGCCAGATATAGAACCTTGTTTATTCAATGTTCGTTTTGACCCTTGCGAACGAAACAATGTTGCATATTATATGCCACAAACTGTTGAAGCATTAACATATACACTAAACAAATATAATACTTCTGCTGTATACAGAGATAAAAGATCCTTGGAAGAATGGGACAACACATATAAAGATTTATCGTTAAAATTAACACTAATTAAACTTGAAAAAAGTCGAAAAACATTAGACCGTAGCAAAATAGGAGTTTAACCCAATGGTAAAAGTAGGCGTTCCATGCCATCTATGGACGCTCTACGCAACTTATTGGAGGTAAATATATTAAGTGATCTGGATTGAAACTAAACTGAAAAGCATCAAAGTTTTTTTTTCTTTAAAAAACGAGATATACCATAACAGAATCAATCAGTTACTCTTGAAGGAATATTGCTTATTTTGCATAAAAATTGAATAACTATATATGAATAAATATAAATAAATGAATATAAATATATATAAATGAAATTTACCAACTATAAAAAAAAATTGCTTTAAAAAAATATACATATTAGTTTTTATAGAAATCTTGGTGTCACATTTAAAAAAAAATATGTCAAATTATATTGATGTAGTAAACATGACCTGCGATGAAGCCAGATATTTTTTGTCTGAAGAGTGTAAAAGAAATCAAAAAGACATAAAGGAAATTCCAAACTTTTTTATGTTAATGTTTATGCCAAATGTTTTGCAAAAACTTGCAACGATCAGAGTCTGGTAACCCAAGTATCCAAAATCTTACCGAAGAGGTTTACAAAACACAGTTTTGTAAGCGCAAAATATTAATTTGCGCGCTTGTTTTAGTTTATTGTAGAGTTTTTTTTAGTTTTGTATGATAAGATATGACATATCGATTTGATTTCTTTAGTTCAAAAAATTTTATGCTTTATAAAATTAGTATCCTTGCTGACACTATGTGATAACCACCAACTTAGCTCGCACCTATGGCAAAAACCTCATAGATTCCCATTCGCTCAAAATACCATCATCACATCTACCTAATAATAATCTTTTGTTCAAAAATACCTCCGTATTGTCTGTAAAGGTGACCGCTATATTTCTCACAATATTGGAAGTTCTATTGCTTTTTCAATTATATTTTTTTATTATAATATATAAATATATATATATATATATATATATATATATATATATATATATATATATATATATATATATATATATATATATATATATATATATATATATATATATATATATATATATATATATATATATATATATATATATAACAACAACAATAACCATGTATTTCGAGTTACAGATGTCACAAAAACACAGGTCATTGCAAATAGTAATTCACTAATAAAGCGGAATGACCTAAATAAGATAAAAAGTAATAATAACAATAATAATAATAATATGTAATAAGTAAAACCACATAAAAAAGTAGGTTACAAAAGAAAGTTAAGTTAAATAGGTTAACATAATATTAACTAATGACCTAAATTTACTAATAAAATTAACTAATAAAAGTAAAATTGCATAAAAATTTATTTAAGTATAATAAAAATTTAAAACAAAATATTAAAAATAAAATTATAATAAAATAATAAACTATAATAAAAATAAAAAAACAAGTCAAAAGATAGAAAATAAAAAATTAAAAAGTAAAGTTAAGCGTAACCTTTTAGGTAGAAATGATGGAGTGAATCTACTCTAGAGAGACATACGGTTTTAGATTGTCCCCAAACCTGACCTGCGTATCGTAAATGTGAACCAAAAATTGAGTGATATATAGAGAGCAATGTTTTAAAGTTAACGTAATGTCGAACTTTTGCTAAAATGCCGTTGGAACGGCTTAATTTCAGAGTAAGGTCGGATATGTGTGTTTTGAATGAAAGTTTTTCATCTAACACAACACCAAGATAAGTTATGTTATAAGACAAGTACATTTTTTGACCACTTAATTGAAAGTTCAAGTATTTTGGAATATTTTTCTTAGTTTTTTTAAAAAAGTTAGTATTTCGATTTTTAAATATAATTTTTTCTGATTTTTTAGATTCAACAAGACTGGTCATATCCTGATTAATATATTTATTAAGTTTTTGAGAGAGTTTGTTATTAATTGAAGATTAGTATCATCAGCAAAATGATACGTTTTTGAATGTTTGATAGAAAGATTGAGATCATTAATATAGATAATAAAGAGAAGAAGACCTAATATGGATCCCTGAGGTATACCAATTGAAACGTTTTTAATATCTGAGCTGGTTCCACTTATAGCTACAAACTGTTGACGATCAGAAAGGTATGATTTGAACCACTGCAAGGATATGCCACGTACACCATAATAGTTAAGCTTTGAGAGGAGAATTTCATGGTCTACAGAGTCAAAAGCTTTTTGCAAATCGACAAAAATCCCACAAGCAAAGTTGCCATTATCAAGAGCAACTCATACTTTCTGTTATTTCAATAAGAGCGTGAGCTGTCGAATACTTTTTACGAAAACCAAACTGGTGTTTATATAAGCAATAATTTTGTTTTAGAAAGTTGTATAGTTTATTATGCATAACTTTTTCAAAATTTTGCTTACATTAGAAAGAAGAGATATAAGTCGAGGTTGTAGCGGCAAAGTAATTGAGTTATTAAAGCCTACAACAGGGAGTTGACCTTCAATGATGCAATGTGGTTGGCCCATTTGAGTGTTGCCAAGAGAATCACCTTGTTCGATAAAAATAGCACGGTCTGACTTATTTGTTATCATCAAATTCATTGTGCTAGTGGGCTCGACGTGTCGACTACTACGATACGTTGGGAATGTGACAAGCTGAGTCAAGGCACTTTTTGAACCAGATCTCTCCTTGACGCTTATTTCCCTCGTGAGCAACTGTTGCAATGCCACTGTTAACTTCAATAGACTCATAAGATATGGCTAAATTTGAAATCTCCATATAGTAGCATTTCCGAGAAGTATATGTAAGGCATTATCTGCCGAGCTGCCGTGATCAATGTGATACACTGAGTAAAACGTGTAGCTAACTAGATTTAGGCAGAGCAAATAGTCTGGCCAACAGCTCTTGGTGTTTGTCATTTCTTAGTGAGCAAGGATTGTTTGTCCAGTAGCGTAGATGGGTAGGTGGAAGGGTGGAAGCGTTGTGAAAACGTATATAAATGTCATAATTCTATTGAGATGTTATATAAGAAATTTTACTGTAATAGTTATTTATAATAGTTTTTTTTTTCAAACAATCTTTATAAATAAAAAATAATATAAAATAAAAAAACCAATAAAGGTCTAAAAATGTAAATAATTAGTTAATATTAGAACTTTTTAGTCCTTACTTATTATAATAGCTTGAAAACAAAAAACAAGGTTGCTAAAAATATACATCAAGTCGAACACTATTCGAATTAGAAGGAAAGTCTTAATTATTAGATGAATTGCCTCAACAATACTTATACCCATTAATAAAATATTGCAATGCTCCAAAAGGTAGTTATTATAAATAATTTTTAAAGCGTTTTAAAAGAAACAGACTTTTTTAGCAAACGGGTGAATACGCTGCGGACGGAAAAAACGGAGCATTGGGAAAAGTTTACAAAGAAGATGTTCAATATTATATTTTTTTGTTCAATTTTTATATTTTTTAAAACTTAAGTTTATCTGAGCAATTGTGTTTTAAAGTTAATAAACTCTTTATCGAGTTTAATTAACTTTAAAATTTTTTTGTTCAAATATATATGCCCCCTCCCTTCCCGCGCAGCGGGTCGTGTTTCCCACAGTTTTATGGCAATTAACTTTTTTTTAAATCTAATTGAATTGATGTCAATTAAAATAGATTTTAAAAATTGTAGTTTTAGTTAAACTTTAAAGTTCAAGTGGAACTGATTGTGAGAAAAATACACTTGCACTTAAACTTTACAGTTTAACTGGAATAAGACTATTTAGCGTTTTAGGAAGCATGCAGATTCTGAGTGCCGCAAATTAGGTGTATCATAATACATACATACGAGATGACTATTTCTAAATGTCCTAATATTATTGAAATTACTGAAAGCAAAATTGTGTGGTGTCTAAAAGAAGGGCGTATGTATTTGATCAAAATTATTGAATTTAGGCAATTTCTTGCTTGATAGGCATTTACTCTTTAAGGTGATTTAGGAAATTTTAACACAATAACTCTTACTACATGCAAAGCCGACAACACCAGGGGGACCTGGGGCACTGTCTCCCCCTCCCCACTAAATCTAATAAATGTAATGCAGACGAAAGAGGTGGTACCTGGGCATGTGAAATAGTGTACTAAGCGTTGCAAAACCATAATACTTTGTTTAATTGCGATTTTTTTCAAATTTTATTTTTACGAAGCATCAAATTACGTTTGTGCGTTACAATGCGACATGTTTAAATAACCTTAATGTCATAAAAAACAGTTAAATCACATCCGTGATATAATTGTTTTTTACAATTATAACTTGTGTTTTATTCAATCAAAAATTTTTGTTTAAAAAATATTATAATTAAAATACTTATTTAAAAAAAATAAATATTAAGAAACTAATCAACTTTTTATATTAACATAAGTTTAAGCTAGGGGCTTTCCATTAATTATGACAAATACAACATTAGTAAAAAAAAACCTAGAAAACTATAATCCCTAGAAATATTGTATTTTATTATAAAGAATATATAAGGATAAGTTTACATACTGTAACAGATGTTTTAACTTAATTGTTCAAGTTTTGAACTAAAGTTGGCAAATTGCAAATATTGAGGACTTTTTTTCTTTTTTGGTGTTTCTAGTTGACAAAAAATACATACCACTCTATGGAAGACCTCTTCGAAACGGCCCTGATTGCAATAAAAGATTAACAACATTCGCTCGTATTCAAGAGAAACCTGGAAAAAACATCAAGGTTACCAAAATTGTTTGACTTTTATTATTATTATTATTTCTTTCAACCCACAGAGTAATAAAAACTCTCCAGAACATAATTATTAGGTTTCAATTTTTGGCCTTTTTGGAGTCAGAAAACATTGTCCATTTTACAATCGCACATTTTCTCCCCATAAAAAGAAAAAAAAAAAACGATGGCAAAGAATTTACTAAACGTTTTTTATACTTTTTAAAGATACATAAAATGTCGTAATATAATTTTTTTTTAATACTTTTTTGTAAATAAACATCATAGATTAATACTATTAATATTATTTTTATAAAATTATGAACATTTTTATTTTATAATCTCATTTATTAAAATAAATAAAATATTTGTATAACCTCGTTATAAATTCGAATTGAAACATTATTCAAAACCATTATTTGAATCTACTCTGTGATAACATTTTCTGCCTGTTAAAATTATACAAAAATTATTTGAAAATATAAAATTTTTATAAACAACAAAAAACAAAATTAAAAAAAAAAAGATAAAACCAATAAAAAAAATTTTATTGTAACTAATAGTAACAACTATTTCCTTAACAGTTTTTTACTCCTCTTCAATACAAGATGGAATTTGTGTCTATTTTCTCCATAGGGTGGAGTTTATGTCTATTTTTTCCAGGGGGTGGAATTTGTGTTTGTTTTTTCCAAGAAGTGGAAATTGTATCTATTTTTTGCATGGGGTGGAATTTTTGGCTAATTTCCCCATGATTGGGGTGATCCTGTTTTCAGGAGATGGAATCTGCGGCTACTTCTTCCATGATTAATCCCAGTGGGAACGGACGTAAAAAAGACGTCTTTTAAACGTCTTATGAACGTTTTGGGCGTCTTTTAAACTTCTTTTGAACGTTTTGGACGTCTTTTGAACGTTTTGGACGTCTTTTGAACGTTTAAAAGACGTCTTTTTTAGGTCCCGTGCCCACTGGGATATTTTTTTTTTTTTAAATAAGATTTATCATGGAAGAATTTGTGGATAAATAGGACTATTTCATTAGTCATATTTATTTGAAAAGGCGTAATATGTGGCAATTAATGCATAATGGATTATTTTTATTTCAAGAGGTAGAATCTGTGAAATTTTTTAATAAATCTTTATTAATTTTATTTTTTTAATGAATAAATCTTTATTACATATAATAATTATTTATTACAAAGACCAGAATTTGCTATAAACTTTTGAAAACATTTTTAAACTAGTATTCAGAGCATTATTTATAATTTAACTAAGTGAAAACATAAAAACTAAAGAACGCAATCAACCGAGTCCATCTCCAATAAAAAAAAATTATAAAGATTATATTAATTTTAAAAAGACTTGCTTAAATAAAAAAGAAGCATCCAAATTGCGAGAGCAAATTTTTTTTTTTTTTTTCGTCTGACAATTTGCACACTAAACATTTACTTTAAATGTTATTTTTAAACTTATAAAATTAATTTTAAATTGAAATTAAGCCATCAAGAAATTCACGTTTTGAAAATACTTGATTTTTTCATAAAAAAACGTTGTTTTTTTTTAATTTATTTAAAATTACGTTTGAAGATCATAATGACCTTGATATTTCTATTTCAATGAATGGCAACATACAGTATTTGCCAGTACTTTACATTATATGATACCAGAACTAGTCAGTTCTATTTTCAGTTTTCGAATTTATAAAAACCTTAAGTTAATAATATTTGATATTTTAAATCTTACCTTTTCTATAGAGTTCCGCTCGTTATAAATCTAAAAAAAAAATTATCGAAATAACTGTCTATTACATTACGCAATCTATAGTCTTAAATTTATAAACGCTATAAACTCTCAAATAAAAACGAATTGATAAAGAACATTATTCAAAGTAGTAACAAACTACAATTATAATTAGGTAGTTATCATAAATTAAAATTAATTTGAGAAATAATAATTAATTTGAAAAATAATAATTAATTTGAAAAATAATAACTATTGCCAACAATCAAATTGTCAATATAATTAGTGACAATAACAATGATAATAATAATAGAAAAATTATTAATTTCTAGAAAATAGAAAATATCACTCAAACCTCCTCTGCGTCTTTTCTTTCCTCATCAACATAAACATCATGGTCTAGTCTTTCTAATCTACGCAGGATAACTAAAACCTCAATCCGATAAGATTCTTCATAGCAGATTGGATTATCTATAATAAAAGACATTCTATAAAATTAAATTATAATAATTATGAAATATGAAAACTTATAATCAAATAATATATATAATAAGCCAATGTCATGTATCATATAGCTCTTGGCTCAGCATGGGATTTATGTATTTTATATATAGAAATTATTTGCCACAAAAAAAAAAGCAAACAAAAAAATGTAATCTTTTTGGGAAACATAAATAAAAAACGGGCAAATTTAAGAGTAAATTCTCCTAACGTTTGAGAACAAAACTACACTTTTCAGACGGTAAACAGTTATTAATAAAGCAATTTACGAAAAAACTACAAAGCTCTGCGGTGAATAAAAAATTATTTACCAAGTTAATATATAATTTAGTTAGTTTTTATTTGGATTCGTATGAGATATCGATTTAAAAATGAATTAGCTTACTAGTTATCTTGATAAAATTCTATTTTTACCGTACAGCTGTTTTCTATTAACCCTTAAATGCATAGTGTTGCAGAAATGCAACAAACTTTTTCATTACTTATAAAGCGATTTTAAAATTAGTTTACAAGTAATGCATAGTGTTGCCTTATTGATATGCGAATATACTAAAATATGCACATACTTTTTTGGCTAATATTTTAAAAACCACTGTGTAAGAGAGGTATTAGTTCGTCACATCACATTTTTCCGAGTTGACTAGTTTATTCAATTTTCTAGTGATTTTTGAAGTAGACAATGCGTTCTTTTATGGACAAATAAATTTTTTTTTCTAAAGGTTGGGCTTTATTTTAAAGATTATTTGTTGTTTTGAATTTAATGTTATAGCGAGTAATGATATTAAGTTTGTATGTTACAAAAATGCTACTTTATGTATTATAGTCTTTGTTTATTATCTTATTATTATCTTATTATGTATTATCTTATATGTATCTCTCTCTCTCTTTATGAGTAGTGATAAATGTATGTTGTCTTTTGTATGTATATTGTGAATTTAGTCAACAAATCAACAACTTTTTTTAATATTTTTCAGCTCAAATTAAGTCAAACAAAAGTAAAATTAAGCTGTTAAGTGAGGAGGATTTACAATACTTCATTGACCATTTAAGTGAAATTGGTAAAGAAGAAGATGTTTCTGTTGTGCATTTTCTTATAGATCCCGGATATTCATTTAATAAAGATTTACAAATATTAAATGAAGACGAGGAAAATGAAGATAAGCATGAGCGAGATCAAGACAATGACCAGCATGATGAAGATAATATAAAATCAAAAAATGAAGAAAAACATTAAGCTTACACTGAAGACGAAACAATGTTTAAGAAATTACATAAATAGATCGGCCCTTTTTGAAACCACTCACTAGCTTGGGTCCCCCACTAGCTCAGGCCCCCACTTAGTCTTCGTTTAGTCCATCTACCTTATAATATACCATATAAATAAATAAAATTTTTTAAAGTTAAACCATATAAATAGTTATTGACATTTTGAAATTAAAGGAAGAGTTTGAGGAGCAAATAGTTAGCAAAAGCAATTACTCAGAGATTACTGAAACAGAAAAGGAATTAGTATTATGGTTAACACTTGGAAAGATGGAATTGAAGCAAAAGGGCTTTAGATAAACATAAATAAGACAAAGTTTATGCATTGTAAAGTCAAGAATGAACAAGCAGAAAATACTGGGAAGTGGCCATGTGGAGTGTGTAGGAAGAGAGTTGGAGCTTACTTAAGAGTTGGAGCTAAGTTTTTAAGTTTGTACAGTTTGTATGCAATGGTTTTATAAGGAGATATTGTAGATATTGAAGAGATGTTCTTTAAAGATTGTTGGTTTTGATCGTAGAAAATGCACTTTTGGTGAATATAGAAAAGAAGTTAAAAAAAGAGTTTGAAATAAAAAGTGGAGAAAAGATAGAGTGTGTTGGTTAATTTTGTTATCTTGAAGATACAATTGGATCAGCTGACGGAGCAGAAGAAGCATCTAGGGCAAGAGTAAGGTCTGCTTGGGCCAAGTTCCGAGAATTAAAGTGATAGAGGTGCTTCATTAATGATTAAAGGAAAGTTCTACAGCACATATGTCTAGAGTGCTATGATGTATGGCAGTGAAACATGGGCAATGAAGGTTGATGAAGTCCAGCTTTTGGAAAGAACAGAAAAAATGATGATTAGATGAATATTAGAACAGAAAATGATTAAATGAAAATGCGGTGTGACTCTCAAAATAAATAAAAGCAGTGATGATTTAAGAAAAAGATTAGGCGTTGCGAGTATATCTGATTGGTTGCGTCAAGGACAATTTAGATGGTTTGGGCATGTAAAGCGTAAAGATGACTGGCTATCAACATGTAGAGAGTTTGAAGTTTCAGAAAAAAAAGCTTAAGGTAGAAGCAGAAAAACTTAGAAAGAATGTGTTTCAGATGATTTGAAAAAGTTACATTTAAGAAAAGAAGATGTTCAGTTATACCCTTGAACTTCAAAGTTGAAGTTTGGAGTTTGTTAATGTTAATGTTGCTTGATGTTGATGTTGCTTTATTACAAGTTACAACAGTTACAACAAACTGTTCAAACTGCTAGAAAAATTTTTCTTACTGATCAGTCAAACAACTTACAACTGGAGGAAATAATTGCAAAACTCTCATCTGAATCCTTAAAAAGAGTTTATGGAAGAGTGAAGAGGCACAATTGCATGCTGGTTAAAAACTAGAGCAGAATGGAAACCAAGAGAAATGCAACCATTACATACTTTTTCAAAGTACCTTTTTCATCTTTCATGTTACAAAAATATATTGAAAATGATAAACATTTCTTTAAAATACAGTTTAGTTTCTTCCAATATGAGAAAAATAAAAAGTTTATGTATTGCAGTAGTAAATAATAAAAATGAAATAAACCATACGCAGGGTGCAAAGACATGAGATAAAAATTCTAGCTTCCATTAAACTAACCTAAGTTAAATCAAAATCAGAACTCTCTGTGAACACTCTTTAATAAAAAAAGAATCTTGCAAAAAAAAAGGATTATGATTTTTTTGAGAAAAGAGACAAATAGTCGAAAACTTTAAAATGATTTCCCAAAATTACCCAAAATAAAAGTCGAAATTAGCAAATTCCCGAAATTAGCAAAATCCCAAAATAAAAGTCGAAATTAGCAAATTTTTTTGGAACCATGATTATATATATGTATCATGTAAATACCAAAGTGAGCGAATGTGTTAACAAAAAAAATATGTTTAGACAGTGGCTTAATATATAACTGTATAAAAAAAAACTTTAGAGTGAAACAAATGAAATCAAAAGCAAAGAAAAGAATTTCTTTTTCAATCAAAATTTTATAACCAATTAGAATGAGTGCTCGAAGCATGGGTAAACATTTTAACTTGTTGATTTCGTGTAGTTCACTAATATTGTTCATTCTACAAATAAAAAATTGTTAAATTTATGTTGCGTAAAACAAAAAAATCAAGGTTTGAAATTTTTGATATTTTTGCCGACTAAATATCCCAAAATTGCCCTTTTGAGGGTTGATTCTATATATATTGGGGATTCGAAAACGATAAATTTTAAAATCCTGGATTAAAATCCAAGGGAGATATTTGGCTTCAAAATTACCGAACTTTCTCACTTACTCAAATACTTTTGATTTGGAATTGTAAAGTCTATATTAGCTCAAATAATTTTAATATATATTTTATTATATTGCTATAAAAATATAAATAAACAAAAAAAAAAATCCCAATAAATATGTAAAATTATTATTCACAAAATCTCTAAATTTAATTATCACAAACATCTTCTTTGAACCCTTTTGTGCTTCTTAGAATTTTTTGCTATTGTAATCGACAACACAATTCAACAGCTGGAATAATCTGGATAAGACATAAATCTTTTGAATCTTTGCCAATGAGCTTGAAGTTAGAATTGTTGCTTGTCACTGTAAATTCCAAGACCAGTTTTATGGTACTTTAGAATTTGTGGAACATGGTAAAAGACAGCATTTTTAAACTTTTGGTGTGACAGAAACAGTCAACTTTAGATAATTGCTCTTCAACTGTAGAATCTTTTTTTCAAAGTCTGGAGAGAATGAGCATCCAAAACAAGAATTAACAACTTAGAGAAACAAATGTAGAACATGGATGATGCTTCAAATGCCTTATCATCCACAGTTATCTGCTTCAGTGTCAATTTTTTTCAGCATCTTCATGCAATCATTGCCATTGAAGTGACCACCATGGTACGGCTGTAATGGTGTATGTAATGAAGTCAACCATTTTTTTGTTTTTGGCAAAACTTGAACCAAGTGCTTAATAAGATGGTTAACAACCCCAAGAAGCAAATGAAGTTCCATTAGAGGAATAGCTTCTAAGATTAGCTTTTCATCTGGGAATCAAAGTATTGGTGGATGAATAGCATTCTTGAATTCTTTTGATTTCTTTAGATCAGCACCAGATAAAATAATCTTTTGATGTTACTCTCTGATTGTTCCAAATGTTTAAATTTGTCGACTCAATGTTGCACCAGCAGCAAGGATGCTTGCTACTGAGAGACTGAATTCCACAGATAATATTTGCAAGCTTTATGTCACATGACAGAATCAATTTGATAATTAACTCATTAACTTGCATTAGGTCCAAAATCAGTTGGATATTGCAAAATGTTTCATGGGTGTTTTCAAAGATTGCTACAATTAGTTGCTTTTTGACACCTGTGCTTTTAAAATTTTCACTTGAAGCTAACTTAATTGACTTTTTTACTGGACTTTGTTGTTTTGTTTGGTGTTCAGATATTAGACTCAAGCTAGCTTTGAATAAGGACCCTCCACCATCAAGGCCCAGTTTCACAGTGTCTGAGCTCATAAAGTCTTTTGAAACTGTTATGTTTTCCTTCAGGATTTTTAAACTGATACAATGAATAATGTCACAAACCTCATAAGAATATGGCAATTTTACATTGGTAGCAATCAAAAAATCCTTTCAACTAGACCCTGCTGATGCAAACTTCTGTTGAAAATTTGGCTCAAGAAAGTGAACTGGACTAATTTGGTATAGAAAAGATCCAAGCCTTCTGATTTTATTGTTTGAAAGCCCAGTATTCTGCTGAATATCAACCATATTTTATGTTGTCAAAGGGCCTTGAAAGAGTGAATGAGCTGCAGATGTACCTTAAGAAAGAAAACTAAATCAGTTACTTCACATATAAATTGTATTGCTCATAATGTACAGAATAATAAAATAACTAATTATTTTATTATTCTGTACATTCTGATTATTTTTTCTAAAAATAGCTAAAAATAACAATGATTTCAATACCTATGCATTATTCTTTTTATTTAGTTTGTAAGTGTAATATTTTTTAGCGTGATATAAAGAAAAAAAGTCATGTTGATATTTGTAACTTTTACTTATATTTATATATTAAATATATTAAATTTAATTACATACTGTTAAACTGTTTATAGTTTCTCGTATCTTGAGATCATAAGTTTAGTGCTGCATCTTTTTATTTCATTTATGTGCCAATTCTTTGTGCTGAATCTGTCTCCAAGGAAATAGTTTTGCAATCAATTATGATTGTCTGAATTGAGTGTGACAAATATTGGTCTGGAGGGAATTACTTGTGTAGCAATTACTAATGATTTTTTTAAGATAATATTCTAAATGACAGTCCAAAGGGAATTGGTTGTCTTGCAATCGTTAGAGTATCGTAAAAAAACAATCTATTTTTGCAAACAAATATTTGTAAAGTACCAAAAAAATTAAAAAATGCAAAGCTAAATATCTCCATGAGATTTTAAAATTTATTGTTTTGGAGTCCCCAATATATGCAGAATCAACCCTCAAAAGGACTATTTTGGGATATTTAGTCAGCAAAAAAGTCAAAATTTTCATACCGTGAGATATAAGCAAAAAAAAACTTTTTTAAGGTATAAAACAAGATTACATAAATTTATAATTCTAATTTTAAAATTAAAAATTTAAACTTTTCTTTAAAATACAAACCTTAAATTAAGATATTGCAAATTTTTCATGTTTTCTGAAAACCCATTTAAATTTGTTATTTTATTGTTTCGTAAGTGTAATGTTTTGAGATGTGTCAGTTGGGATACATCTTGAATCTCTTCTATTGCATTTTCAGCTAAATAAAGCATCTTTAAACTTTGTGGATATGTGCATTTTGTAGAAGTAAGTTTATTTCCACGCAGTTCTAACACAGCCAAATATGATAGATTGGCTGCATCAAAACTCGATATTTCTAAAACTTCATTTCCTGATAACAATAAAACAGTAATTATGTAAATATAATAAACAATTTTTTTTCAACAAACGCATCGAACTTCACCAATTTAAAAAATCAAAATTATGTTATATAAAAAAGATATTATGTTATATAACATAGATATTATGTTATATAACATAGATATTATGTTATATAACATAGATTTAATGATATATAACATAGATTTTATGTTATATAAAATAGATATTATGTTATACAATATAGATATTTCGAATTAAATAAAAGTTTTTTTGTTTTTAATGTTTTTAAAAATCTATGCGTTAGGAAAAGGTGGTTTGATTTTGTAATAAAATAATATGTAAGGTAGAAATTTCTACCTTACTTCAGGTAAGATATGTGATATACCCTAATTAAGGTATAACTTTCAACCTTTTAAGATTAAAAACTGTATTACAAATAATCATTAGTCATTCTATTTTCTACCTTGAATATATAATTTCATACCTTTCTATGGGTATATCACATATTCAACCATAATCTAAAAATATTTACCATTTTTTTGAGTGTAAACTCAAAGTTTACACTCAAATGGTCTAAATTTTTAAAAAGTTTTTACTACACATAATCCAACAAGAAACCTGCAATTAGTCTTTTGATGGTAATTTTAAAAATGTTGCTCTAACGGATCACTTTGAAAATGTGAGGTTAGAACATAATTATAACCTTCAATTAAACTAGAGTTATTTTGCAATGTTATGACTACTGCTTTAGAAGCCTGAGTTGTGAGACAAAATATTTCAGTGGAAATCAACTGTATTGTAAATTTTGCCAGTGAGCAAATGCACAAAAAAAGTTGTGGTTTAGCATCTTTATTTTATTTTTAGAATTGGATTTTACCAACCATAAATTAATGAATTTCTGATGTTAACTATTCGTCAGGAAAATAACTTTGAACTGCTGCAGAAGTTGTTTCATGGAACATTTTGTTTATGGTTAGCTAGATTTAATTTCTTTTCCCCTAGTTTTGATGTCTTTCTTAAGTTTACTGAAAGAGATTGATTTCATCATGTACTCTATGTAACAAACCCAAAATATATCACCTGGAGACACTTTGATATTAAAATCATTGTAATCATTGAACTGAAATAATGTAATGTAAACAAAAATTAACATTTTAGTACTTATCAAATTATTATTACAATTGTAAAATTTTCTCTATCATACATCAGATAAATTATATGATATAAATGATATAGAAATTTTTGTCTGGATTATTTGACCCATAAATGCTAGGCAATTTTTCTTAAAAACCTTTACTTCCAACAAGGCTGCAAGCAACCACCATTAGAGTTAGTTATTGAAGAATAAAGATGAAGTTTATAAAGCAAGATAACAATCAACAGATGACTTAAAAGATTGCAGATTATATGAATCAGGAAAACAAGATGAAGGGAGAAATTTCAAAGAATTGATGTTTGAGGAAAAAAATAGAGAAAATTTTTTTTTGGAGTACTTAGAAACAGTCAGAGTAAAAGGATGAAGGTTAATTGAATGATGAGTAACACGTGAATGAATTTTAATAAATGGTACAAGAAGCGCTAGCTCTTTAGAGCACCGCCCATTATAGTATTTGTAGAAGAAAAAAAGAGAAACAAAATTATGGCAATGTGATAATGATTGAAGATTGGCTGCAAGAGCAGGTCCAACTATGTTGGACTTACTCTTGCATTTACAAAAGGGCATCATTCGAAGATCTGCTCCAGATATGGCAACAGTATTTTTTTTTTTTCAAAATCTTCACTTCCAAAGAGGCTGCAAGCAACTACTATTAGAGTTGGAAGTTACTGGAAGAAAAAAGATAAAGTTTATAAAGCAAGATAACGGTTGACAGACGACTTAAAATAATTCTTCAAAATTGAGAATACAATGGTTGCTTATTTTTTCCTTATTTAACAATAGATTCAATGATCTTATTGAATGAATTCTATTTACTAACTTTTTCAATAGTGAGATCTATGGTAGAGGAAGTTCCAAAAAAAGTATGGTAGAGGTTGGTATGGTAGAGGTATGATAGAAGTATGGTAGAGATTGTTCCAAAAGAAGTGAATAAAGCTAAGGTAATGAATACATTTGGATTATTGAAAAATATAATACTTGTAAAGAATATGTAGGACAACCTTTATATTTATAAAAAACAGTTTGTTAACTAAACAAAAGTAAACTAAAATTTCTCTTTAACACATACATTATAAGTTATACATAAAAGACAATAAATTTTAAAAAAAAGTTTTCAACTTATGATTTTTAATTGTTTTAAACCAATGAGGAAATCGTAATGGACAACTTTTAGATTTAAAGATTAACGTGCAAATTCATTACTGATTTATTGAAAGGAGTGGAGTCTAAAACAAACAAATAATGTAAAAAAAAAAACTTCATATCTTTGAAAACTATTTGGAGATCCATGAAGCATGTCAATGTTTTCCATTTATGAGGAGTTTTAAGCACTATAGAAGAATGCAAATTTCATCAGAATAAATGGTTAGAACAAGGTTTAATTCATGTTTTAAACTTGTTTTCTGTATTTTAAATAACCTTTTTTCAAAATGTTCCACACTTAATTTAATGATTACCTGGCTTCTAACTTTTTCTGTTAATAAATTTAAACCACTTTTGTTCTAGTATCTTTAGGGAAATAAAAAGACAACTTTGCTGTCAAAAAGAGAACTAGATTCACTTTTTTTTAGATTTACAGCCAGTTCGACCATTAACAACTCCACATTTATTCGCAATTATAATCACAACGCAGTTAATAACTTAATCAATATCTCCCTAATAATATATAAATAATATTATCTAATAATATATGACAAAGGCCCAAAATCCTAAAAACTAGCCTTCTAATTATTCAAAACTGTTGACTGTTTTTAATCATTAAATATTTAAAAAATTTTAATCTTTAATTTTATTATGAAATTTTTTTTTATAATTTTGATGGTTGAACATTTAAAAGAACTTCAAGAAGATTTTATTAAAAAGTTTATATTTTTATTGTTAATTACAAAATTAAACGCACACCAGTCTTCATGTGGTGGCATCTTGTTATACTTATTTTTATAAAACTATTTTATAACCAAAAAATTATGTAACCAAAAGATATTCAATCAACAATATATTGATAAATAATTTCTTATACATGAAATTATTTAAAACCCATGTCTGCTAAAAAAAAATTTTTATTTTTTTGAAAATAATTTTTTTCACAATTTTAATTTCACAAGTCTAAAAGAGAACTTTATCTACGTAATCACATAAAAGAGAAATTTATCTCCATAATCACATTAAAAAACTTTATTTTCAGTTTCATGAACAACTTTGATATAATAAAACAATAAGTATTGATAACAATTACAGAAATTATAAGGTTCTTTATATGAACACTTGAACTTTTCGTTAAAATATTAAACATACAAAAACCCTATTCATGCATATTAAACATACAAAAACCCTATTCATGCAACTCAGTAATAAAAATGCAGTGATAATAATGCCGCCTTAATGAACACTATACCATTTAAATTAAGCTTCTCAAGCAATGGATGATTTATGCCAAATAAGTCTTTTATTTGGTTATTGGAAAAGTCGATATGTTGGAGGTATGGCAACTATAATTTAAAAAACCAAATAATTATATCAACAATTATTAAAAATTAATAGACAATACTAGTCATTAAAAATAATTAATAAAAACTGTTAAAATGAAACTCCTATCATTAAACTTGTTACTGCAACTACCAATAATTTATTAATATGTATTTATTTAATCACCGTTATTATGGATCCTGATAATGTAAAACTAGCTGACTCAAAAACACCACTTAAATGGAAAGCTAGTGATACAAATTTGACTAAAAAAAACAATGGCTGCATGAGTGTTCTACTATATTAAATACTATATTGCATGAGTGTTCTATGTTATACTATGTTAAACTATGTTATACCAACAATTTTTATTATAATTGTTTTATTGGTGCATAAACCATTTTCATTTTAAAGATCAAAATATTGATTTGCTATTTAAAGTGTGGTTTGAAATTTCTTATGCATAGCATGAATAATCAAAATTTCCTAAGGTATAAACTAATGCCAAAATGCAAAAAAATGCTCAAAAAACTTGTTCAAAAACCAACTAGTTAGTAACAAACAAAAAAATACATCTCTGTTAACAAACTTTTATTGACTCTTGAAACCTTCTTAAATACATTTACTTTTAGAGCTATGGAAAAAAAAAACTATTTGAACCCAATTTTTACATCGTATTACCATCAAATAGAATCTGATTACATTTTAAGACATTTTTTGATTTTCTCCACATAAATTATATTAATTAGTAGCTCAATATACTTTTTTAGTACAAATACTTTACATTACTATTTTAAAAAAATCAAAAGTTTTTAAACAAATAGCATTTAAGGATTACGATGGTGAAAAAAATTACAAACCGTAACCTATGAATTTCTGCTGTTAATCTCTAATAACTAATAATTATGTTAATTATATTATCTCTAATACCTAATAACTATGTTAATTATGTTATCTCTAATAACTAATAATTATTTAATTATGTTATCTCTAATAACTAACAATTATGTTAATTATGTTATCTCTAATAATTATGTTAGTTATGTTATCTCTAATAACTAATAATTATGTTAGCTTAAATCTTTAAAGATACTTACAATTCAGATCAATTTTTTTTTTAATTTTGATTCACTCTTAACAAGGCTGCAAGCAACCACTATTAAGTTGTGACTAGAAAAAAAGAATAGAGCTATAGAGCAAGAAAACAGTTGACAGCAGACTTATTAGGTTGAAGATTGTATGAAGCAGGAAAACATGAAGATGGGAGAGAGTCCCAAAGGGTTGAAGTGCAAGGAAATAAACTAGACGAACAAAAGTTTTTAGACCATTCAGGGACAGATACACTAAAAGAATGAGACTTTGCTGAAATACGAGTCAAGCAAGAATGAATTTTAGTTGATGGAACTAGAGATAAAAGCTTCTTTGAGCAGCAACTATGATAGTATTTGTAGAAAAAAGATGCAACTTTACAACTATGGGAAAGAGGCTCAAACTTAGCAGAGAGAGCGGGTCAAACTACGTTTACAAGGCGTTTTTGAACCTTAACTAAAAGAGAAAGACCATCATTAGAAGAACCAACCAAAATATGACAGTATTTTATACAGGGACAAATGAGAGATTTGTAGAGGTAAAGAATAAAATTAGAAGAGAGAAAATGGCAAGCACGATAAAGAAAAGCAACCTTAGAAGATGCTAATTTAGCAATCGATTGTATCTATGGTTTCCATGAAAGGTCAGTATTAAATAGTAATCCAAGAAAACGTAAAGAAGGGAAGTCAGTAAGAGGGTTGCCATTCATTAATATAGGAATGTCCACAGTACTGCGATAATTATTTGCAGTAAGTAACTGGGTTTGGTTGGAGTTAAAATTTACAAGCCACTGTGAGCCCCAACCTGTTACAGAAGTGAGATCAGATTCAAGATCGGCTGCCTGTTAAAGCAATCAAAAAGAGAAGACTTTTTATCAAGACAAGAGTATAAAATTCAGTCATCAGCAAAAAGAGAACCAAACACCTTTATTGATTGTCTGCAGTAAGTTATTTCATTCAAGATGGGATGTGAGTTGAAGAGGTCAGAATGTTTACCAGAGTTTTTGAAAATTGGAACAACAGATGCCATTTTCCAGCAGGCAGGAAAACAAGACTTAGTCAAGTACTTATCAATTAATTTAAAGAGAATTAAAGGGAGTTCTGGAGAACAGTTTTGTAAGACTATGACTGAAATGTTGTCTGGATCACAAGACGCCATAGAAACTGAATGTAAAGTGATTTGAATGTCTAATAATGGATTAACCTGTTTAATTAGAATGGAAGAGAATGGCCATAAGATTCGAGAGTCATGTTAGAAGAAAAGTATTTTGCAAATAGTTCTGCCTTATCCTTGGGAGAGCAAATAAGATTAGTCCCATGAATGAGAGATGGAATGTTAGACCTACCCTTGTTAACAACGCTGTTGAAGATTTTCAAAAAGTCTCTAGAGCCTAACTTCTGAGATGAGATACAAGATTTAGTGAACTGAAAATAAGCTTAGCATCTGACAGCACCTTTTTACATAAATTTCTTGCAATAATAAATAGCTGCTTGTTCTCAAGAGAGTTGTTCTTTTCAAAAAGATGAAAAAAATGATTAGGATTAGATATAGCTAACTATCTTACTAAACTTACTATCTAAAGCATTTATTAAAGCAACTTATACTTTTTCAGCATAATGATTAACTAAAATTAGAAACTGGGCTTGTGACTTGACATTAAAGTATACATCAAATACGTCTATAAAAAACTACAATGACAGTAACATTAGAGGAGGTTTTATATAAATAAAAAATTTGTTATAACTTTTTTTTAAAATACCTTATTTAGTAGTCCTGACTTCAGTAAATTTTTATCAGCTTTTAAAGTAAGCAAATGAGTAAGATGATTTATTGGGGATATGTCACGTATTTTATTTTCACTTATATCCTAAATCAAAAACATTAGCATAATAACATAAATATTGTATCAATAACATAATGTATAGATATTAACACAAAGTTAAGTTCTCTCAGTTCTTCTTCTCTCTTAAAATAGAATCATTTGGTTTGTAATATTTAAGCAGTTGCTTAGTAAACAAAATACCTGATCTTACCCCTGTAACCCATCTTATCCTTGGTTTTTATTACACATTAGGGTCCCGCCAAACTGCGAATTTTGAATCAAATATAACAAAAAACCTGTTCGAAATTTAATTTGATCTTAAATCAAATCAGTTAGATTTTATTTTAGACTTTTACATAACAGTGGTAAATTTTTGTTTTAAAAACAAATGAATGTTATTTTATTTTTGTTTTCTATATTATTCTAATATATATATATATATATATATATATATATATATATATATATATATATATATATATATATATATATATATATATATATATATATATATATATATATATATATATATATATATATATATATATATATATATATATATATATATATATATCAATGGTGTAATATTACAGCTGTCTTAAATTTCCATTATCATAACAAATCTTTAAAAAAAAAATTACAACATTTTTAAAAACTCTGCATCATTTTATAGATTTAAAAAAAAAATGTTACTTTAGTCTTAGAAATTTACTAAATACATATATGCTATCGTATAAATTTATAACCTTAAGATTATGTGACCTTGTTTGATGTTGTTGAATTTTTACGTTTTTAAAATTTTAGTCTTCTTTACGTTTTTAAATCTAGCCACTTCTGTATTATCCTAGTTTATTGTTCTTCAGCACAATTTTTGATTGATATTCCAGAGGAATTCCAATTATAATCTTGAATTAACTTTTTATATTTTAATATTTTTGTTAAAATTTATTTAAAATTTCTATTTCACCTATTTTTCCATACTGCCTCTAACTTAACAAACAAAAATGTCATGAAACACAAATACTAATATCTATCAGATAAAACCAAAACTGGAATTTGGACTTGACAAGAATATCTAGGGTGAAAAACTGGTAACAGCATTGCCTGCTCAATTACAGATGAAAACTTTATAATGATTAAGTACAGAAAACTTGTTTTAACCAATCATGAAATTTGTTATACCCCTAATATGCAGTTGAAGAACTTCCATCAAAGAAATAAATAATGAAAATTTCAGTGGTGAGGAGGAAAAGAAGGTTCTCATTCTGTTTTTATTCATTTTTGTATTCAAAACATTCTGTTCTACACTTTTCATAGTTTACTTTTGAGGATTCAACAGTTCCTCAAAGACAAAGATCCTATCAGAAAAATATTGAAGGACATCTCTACAATTAATTTGCAATTATGACAAATCAGACATTGTTGCTCCTCTTAAATTAGTCAAAGCAGCAAAAGCTCTTAAAAAACCACAGTTCTTCTTGTTGTTGAAGTTACTTTCAGACTTCTGGAAAACAGACTTTGAAAGTGTAATTTTCTCCAGTAATTAGTTTCCAGTAATATTTGTTTGTTCCCGTAAGGTTCATTCCATACAAAATCATCTGGACCATGTCACCTTTATATCTCAGAATTGCTTTGTTTTTACATCATTTGCAGTCCATATTAAATAAATGATAACTATGAAAATTTTAGCTAAATGTATAAGATAGATTTTTGAGATATCACCAGTTGATATAATGCTGAATCAGCATTTTATTGGTTATTTAAAAAAAAAAAAATGTTGTTTCTTTAATGTAATATCTTGATGATGGTTTGGAAGACTTAACATAAATTTTGAACCCCAATAGATTTTTGCTTGAGAGATTCAAAAATACTACTCTAAAAACTTAATAGTCTCAAGTAGGATTAAGCTTTTACCAACATTTTACCGGTAAACCGGTAAAATGTTGGTAAATTTTGGTAAATGATTTTTACTATACTACAAGTTAAATAATTTAATTGAAATCCTCAATAATGAAATTAATTTTCTTTTTTTGCTACCTTTGTGAATAATATTTTGTCAGAAACACAAATACCATTCCTAATGTTATGTATACTGTTTTCCTTTACGTAAATCAGAACTCCTATACCTCATTTATTCGTTTGTCTCTATAACAAAAATCTAAAAAACGAAGATAGTAATCAGAATTATTATGCTCAAAAATGCATTAAAATATTTTAAAAGGTTTGAAATAGTTTAATCAATAAATTAAAACTTTAATAATCACATTCTTCTCAACTAAGCTGTTTGTTTTCTTTGGAAACTAATTCTGTTGGTTAAGTTTTGTCTGAACATTTTAAGAAAGACATTACTACTTTCTTGTGGTATAGTTATTGGTGCATTTATCAATCAATTTGAGCCAAATTGATTGATAAAAAAAAATCAAAAAGCCTTTCCAAAAAATCAATAACAACACATTAGTCAAGTAACAAGCAACACAGATGAAGTCAGCAATGACGAATCAGAATCTGACAACGAAGTCAGTTTTCTTGATGCTGTCACAGATAAAAACATTCCCATTCCAAAAGCGAAAGTGCACTTGCAATCAGTCATCACAAAAGTCCAAAAAATTGTCAAGTTGTTTCAAAAATCTCCAGTCAAAAATGACGTCTTGCAAGAAGAAATCAAGAAACAGCACAAAAAAGAGGTTTGACTAGGGATTGCGATTTCCTGGACTTTTTACATTCCCAGGATAGCGGGAATTATTTACGTTGTTCCCGGGATCCCGGGAAAATACATTTATTACATTACAATACATTTTACATAATAAAATACAAGTATATATATTTTTTTATTACTCTTTACACTTTGTTTTTAAAAATATTTTTGTTATTTAAAGTGACCTTTTAGAAAAAACAGTGCATCCATATGACTGTCTGACAATCTAGTTCTAAACTTTGTAAAAAATAAGCCTGTTGAACTAAAACACTCTTTCAACTTCAACACTGAAAGGTCGAATAGTTAAAAGTGCATATTAAAGCATATCTAAATTATATGATCTTTTGTAAGTTGCTTCAAACAAACTGTATTCTTGTCACATAGTTGATTTATTACAACTGACTAGAAAGTTGTCTTTTTTTCTCAAAAATTTGTTTAATCTTTTAGCCATAGATTCAGATGACTTTTCTAAATTGACATTACTATTGTTAAACTTATCATTATCTCCTACTTTTGGTATATTTTCAATTATGGGGAAAAGTCTACCAGTTATGTCAATTAACTATATTTATCATCTCTGTTTTAGATGGTATGCAAAATAAGTTATTATACATATCACTTTTTAAAGATTGTGGATTAAGTAAAAACCTTAATAAATCAACAAGATCACTTTTCCTTTTTTGACAACTTTTCCTTCTTAAGATTATTTGCTATCTTGAGCATCAAGTTTTGTAACAATAAATTTTAATGTGTCATCAGCTGTTAATAATGTTGCTTCCCTTCTACATATCTTTTCAGAACCTAAAACAATCGGCTTAAGACTTTTTGCTAAACTTTCAACTACTTCAAGCTAATCATCAGACAACATGAGTTTTTCTAAACTGAAATCCACCAGAGATTTACCAACTGCTTTCTTAACTTTAATAAATCTTTGAATCATGGCCAGCATTGAATTCCAATGAGTTTTCGAATCTAAAATAAGTACTAGCTCTTGTCCAAATTCACTTTTAGAATAATCTTTCAAAGTATCTATTTTTAAGGGAGACCTTTTAAAAGTTACAACAATTTTACGAACTTTAACCAGAACCTTATGAAGCTCAAGAACAAGATCAGGAGCTCGGTCATTATTTTCATTTTCATCATCATCATCATCATCATCATCATCATCATCATCATCATCATCATCATCATTATCATCATCACAATCATCATCAAAAACATCAAAATCATCTTCAATATCTTCTTCATTAGAAATCTGATTATTTTCAACTTTATTTTTATAAATTACATCAACTACAACTAAGTGTATTGCATGTGCAAAACAAAGTTGATATTCAGCAGGAGAAATATTTCCTAATTTTTCCATAACGGAAGCCCCATCTGTTGTTATGCAAACCACATCACTGGAAAGACTCACATTAAACATGTCTAGTTTTTTGATAAGTAGTTTAAGGCAATCATTTGCATTATGTGATTCTATTATTCTCTCTAATTCGAGATTTATAAATCCAGTATTATAGTGAAGATTTATATTCATAAACCTTCTGCCATATTTTGAATATTCATCCAAATCTATACTGAACTTGAATTCTTTTTTTTTATTTCAAGTATAGTCCTTTTTTTTTTCTTCAACTATTTCGGTATAATATTTATAGATAAGGTTCATGACATCTGTTTTGGATTTTGGTAGACTGTAGCCTTTATCATGAAGCAACTCACTAATTTGATCTAATTCAGCTATTGCACTTATGGAAAATCCATCAATAGCAGCAAATCGAGCCAATCGTTCTCCTAATGAAACTTTTTTTATTATACAATCAATTGTAGATAGAACACAATGTTTTTTATTAAACGGTTTATCTTCACATTCTTTATTTAAAATGATAATGTAGATTTTCTCTAAATGTCTTTTCAACCCAACGGTGGAACCGCCTTTGCATATTATTAATTTTTGACAATGTTTGCATTGTGCCTCATCATTTTTTTTTTAGATCAAAATAATTCAGAACCTTTGAAGTTTTACGATTTGAGAACATTTTTATAACATTAATTAAAATTTTTGTCGCACAGTGATAAAATACAAGTATTCATGATATTCATCTGAGTGCCGAACGTCCGCAAAATTTTATATCCACCATGATGGGTGGCAAAAAGATGTAAACAAATATTAAATTGGTAAAAAGCTGTTGCGCACCATACTGCGAAAACAGAAAAATTAAAGGCAGCATCATTCCTTTTCATAAGTTTCCAAAAGAAGAAGAGCAAAGAAGGTTAGGGATTGCTTTTTCAAATCAAAAGATTTTGCCGAATTTGGAGTTTGCTTACATTTGCGGTGAACATTTTATTACTGGTAAGTCATGTCTTCTTGCGTGGATTAATTATGTTAAAATAATATATAAACATATGAGCAACAAAGTCAGCATGATTTTTATCATCATTTTTTCTTCCAAAAAAAAAGTTAACTATACATAATATACAAAAATATAATCACATATATATATATATATATATATATATATATATATATATATATATATATATATATATATATATATATATATATATATATATATATATATATATATATATATATATATGTGATTATATTTTTGTATATTATGTATAGTTAACTTTTTTTTTGGAAGAAAAAATGATAAAAAACATGCTGACTTTGTTCCTTCCATTAAAAAAGTTAACAAAAAAAATAACGATATACCTATTGAATTTAATGACATGTCATGTTATTCATCAAGGAAAATATATTCAGAAAGATCAAATCGTTTAAAGAAGAGGAATGCTGAAAAAGTGCTTATTGAAAAGAATAGTATTAACAGCTGTTTGCAAGAAGAAATTGTTGAAGAATCCGAAACTGTCAAAATTATAAGGGAGATAATAGAAGAAAACGAGAAGATTAAAAAACTTAATTAAAAAACTAAAAGAAGACAGTGAGGCAGAAATTGGTTTTCTTTAAAAGGAAAATATGAAATCAAAATATATTATACATAAATAAAAAATATAAATACTGCACTGAACAAGAAAAACAAAATATTGAAAAATCAAATTGATGAGGCTACTTTTAAATTAATAAAAGACAAAAAGAAAATTCAATTTTATACAAGTCTTCCTGATATGTTTTTAAACATGTTTTTAATTTAATTGAAAACCATGTGCCAGCTAATAATTCTTCAACTATGACAAAGTTGCAAGAACTTTGTATTGTTTTAATGAAACTGCGTCTAAATTTGCTGGAACAAGATATAGCGTACAGATTTGGTATAAGTCAACCAACCATATCATGAATCTTTGAGAAATGGCTTCTTATAATGGTACGCAGACTATCCTTTTTGATAAAGTTGCCAGAGAGAGATATATTAAGGAAAACAATGCTAACTTGTTTTCGATAATTTTTTCCTAAATGTGTTGTAATTATTGACTGCTTTGAGATTTTAATTGAAAAACCAAAAGATCTGACAGCTTAAACTTTTTTCTAAATATAAACACCATAATACTGTTAAAGTTTTAATTGGCATTACTCCACAAGGCTCAATATCATTTGTTTCAGAAGCTTGGGATGGAAGAGTATCTGACAATTATATTACAGAAAATTCTGGAGTATTAAATAATCTACTTATTGGTGATCAGGTGTTAGCTGACAGAGGTTTTACCATTGCAGATTCGGGTGTTTTATATTGTGCCAAATTAAAACTTCCTGCTTTTACACGAAGAAAGTCTCAGCTATCTCAAATAGAAGTTGATTTGATGCAAGAGATTGCCCATGTCCGAACACACGTTGAACGTTTAATTGGGCTCCTTAGAAATAAATACACCATTTTACAAGGAATACTTCCTAATAAACTAATTAGTCGAACTGATGATGGAATATGTAAACTAAATGATATTTTAACTGTTTGCTCTGATTTATGTAACCTTTGTTATGGAGTAGTCTCTATAGATTGACTGTTTATTTAATATATAAAATACATAAATGTAGTATTATGTTTTACTCAATTAAAACTTTTTTTTTTAATTCTGGTTTTCTTGTGGCGACAATATAGGCAAAACCATTTTCCAATTGGTTTACTTGTAAGTCCAAGACAATTAAGATGATAGGTTTTTATAACACAAGTTAAATCAAAACATTTAATTATAATACTCTATTTTATTTAACCGCAAGTACATATTGTTCCAAAATTGTTACTTCCCCAATATTTAAAAAGTATTATGATTTCTAGAATACCATTTGACAAGGAGTTCAGGCAGTATCGCTAAAATAAATGTATTGCTTTGTTTAAGTTTTCAGTGAGGAATTCTTTATCAACATAAATTTTTTTAATTAGACTGGCTTCACCATCACACATGATAAAATAATAAATCGGAATAATTGAAATTAACATTTGTAGCTGAACTTGATAATAATATTGATGAGTTCTTTTTAAATAATGTTTTCCGTCCTTTATTTCCATGCAAAACTCTTTATCATCATTTGCCAGTTCAAAGACCTTTCTTTTTGTGCATTTAAATGGACATTTTATCTCAACTATGTATTCATGAGAACAGCATGTGCATTTTATAATACCATCAGGAGTTGCTTCGAGGTATGGCCATATGGATGTTCTAAGCAATCCACAATCAAAAATTTCAACATTTTTGTGAGTTGTTAATAGATGGGATTTTAAATAATTTTTAGCCACCATTTTATTATCACAACCATACTTTGTTGCTTTGGTAATAAATTTATTTTCTGATGGATAACAAACTTGCATTATTAAATTTCTAGAAGGCATAGCTATATTTGAATGACAACAAGCTTTGAATTTACTAGCTGCGATAACTCCTGCGCGTGCTCTAAACCATAAACTTGATTGAGATTGAGTTTTTGTATGATATGAAATCAGTTTAATTTCATCTTCAGTTATTTTTATATCTGAAAAAGTTTTATTTGAAAGTTGCACGAGTTCATGATATATTAATTGTTTATGTTCTCTTTTGTAAAAGTTAAGAGTAATTGTATTTATTTTTGCAACTGCAGGTATATATTTGTTACTATATTCAGGAATTATACAAAAAATATCTCTTGCATTATTTGATAATTTACTGTAAAAGTTAGCAATTTCTGTCTTACTTGGAATTGGAACAGAGAAGGCTTTTTTAATATATGGTTTTGCTTGTGTTTTGTTCTTTACTTTTGCTTCAAATTTTTTTTTAGGATCGGTAAAATTAATTTGTGAATGTGGCAAATAAGTAACTTCCTTAAGGTTTGGCGGCAACCAAACACATAATTGAGATGTACAAGCATCATCATTATTTCTTTTTCGATAATCAGATGTTAACATTAAATAAAATAATGTTGCTCCAATATGAGAACACACTTCGTCTAAACCTGCCATACATGTGCAATGTGCATTTATAACTGTTGGAGAAAAAATGAGTTTAGAAAAAATGCTCTGACCATGTCTTACACGACTGGTAACAATATAAATAGACTTTACACCATGAATGAACTTTACAAGAACGTTGTAAACAAGACTACTGGTTACATAGTTGTAAGATTCAAGACCTTTGTAAGATTTTAAACTAGAACTTGTAAATTGACTTGGAAATTGATTAGATAGCTGTATATATCAGCAAAAGATAGATTAGGCCATTTGTCTACGTTATTAGTTAGTTCACAGTCTTTTTCTGATAAAGAATCAAAAATAATCTCTAGAACTGATAATTTTTCTTCGTATCTCTTTTTTGCTTCCAAATTAAGACTCTCGTAATACTGTGATCGCCTAATTGTAAGCAAAGAAGAATTTAAATTAATTTCAACAGATCGGCTTTTAGTATCTAATATTTGTTTACATTTTTTTGCCACCCATCATGGAGGATACAAAGTTTTGCGGACATTTGGCGCTCAGATGAATATCATGAATACAATAATATTAAGTGATCTTCTGATGGTCCCGAAAACAAAAAATTATAATTTTGGCGGGAATGTTAAACGATGTATTATTTAAATCCATGAGTACCGAAAAAAATATCTCGGGATCCCGGAAAAAATTTCCCGGGATTTCGAATTTTTGGTTTATTTTTTTCTATGGGAATTTCCCGGGAACAATCCCTAGGTTTGACTTATCCTTGACTGCAGAACAAGATGGAACAATCTACTGCCTATGATTCAACAGTTTCTTAAAGTTAAAGGTTCACTCAGAAAAATATTGAAAGACGTTTATCCACATTTGATTTGCAGTGATAATGAAGTAAACATTTTATACAACATTGTTGCTGCTCTTGAACCAGTCAAATTGGCAACAGAAGTCCTTTGCCGAAAGTATGCAACTATTCTAACTGCTCATGAAATTTTCTTGTCAACAGACTGAAATTATGAGATTCAACCCTTCACATTGCAATGAAGAATGGAATTTAGAGACGTTTTGAAGAGAGAAGGCAGAGCAATCTTATAAGCTTGTTCAGATACCTTTCTAATCCAGAATGTTTTTCCAACATTGAAGAACATAGAGTTTTAAAAATACCTTCAAAATAGGTACTTCAAAA